TGATCTGGGATGCTGCAGCCCCAAAAAAAGGGGGCACAGGACACTTGGCAAGATGTCAGAAAGGGAAGGGGAAATGCCAAAATTTAAACCCATGCTGATCTATTCATTTTCTTCACCACATAGACTTTAAATTTGGTATAGTTTGTGTTCTAAAACATGGGGTTTATACAGGAAAGAAACTAGAGTAGGTAACACTGTGAACCCAGTCTTAGGAGGTTGAAACTGCATATGGAGACGATCATATTGACACTGATTTAGTCTCTTCTCTTTATTCATCCATCATTGACTTTGATATTTATATTGCTCCGACTGTGTGCTCTAACCCTGTACTTGAGATCCAAAGTTCTTTTTGTATCATCTGAGGTGTTTGAGTGAGAAGGGGAATAAATGAAAAAATAAGTTAGTCTCATGCTAGGAGAGATGATGAGGATGGCACAGGATAGGTCAGGGTTTATAGTCTGTTGTTCATATGGTCTCTATGAGTTGTACTAGACTCAAAGGCACCTAACAACAATATTCTGCTGGGAGGATTAGGAAAAAGTGCCCTTTGGAGGAATTCAGACTCAAGTTAGAGTCCAGCTTTATCACTAACTTCTTAACTTGGTTTGTAGAGAATGGGAAGATATTTGTGCTCCTGGATTTTGGTTATGCTCTTTACACAAAGCCTCTTACCAATAACCCTCTGGTGTCATCATAAGAGGAATGAGTAAGATTCATTATGTTAGCAGTGCCATGGAGCTGAGGTCAGGGCCATGTGTGGCCCATCCTGGTCATGGAACAGGGTTGGGATGGAGGTGCCAGCAGTCACCACAGAATACACTTGGGATTCCCTCATGGATTCCTCAAGGCCTGAGAGGTTTACATCTGCTGACTTTATCTTCACCACCTCAGAGACCAAGACTCTCACATCTGGGGCCCTCAGAGCAAGAATTCAAGGAATGTCACCCAAGGCTGCATGTGTCTGCACCTTCTGATGGATGACCTCAACGTTCACAATCTGTGGCATCCTCCCTACTGAGGGATTAAGCATACCCTTTATATGCGTCCCGAGTCTTCCCAACTTCACTACTGGCCAGGCCTGGGTCTCCCATTTCTTCTGACCCAAATTTACTTCCTTAAACCAATGTCCGTATGCCCTTGAGAGAACCCTGGAGTATATGTCTAGAACCCTCTGAGTGCAAGCCACCAATAAAGACTGTCTATAAAGCCTTGTATTATGGAGTGTGAGTCTACTCAGTATCCCTATCTAGGGTGTCTTCCTCTTGGTGCTTGTTTGTTGGATTAAAGGCTTCCTAGAAAATGCTTGTTGTTGTAGTTGTGTACTGTTGAGACAAACCTGACCTATAGCCGACCCTTCAGTGGGTTATCAGAGGCAGGAAATCGCAGGAAAGGAGACTGCCCATCTGGGAAGCAACTGGTAGATTCAAACCCTGTCGCTATCCCAGAGTGAAGAGTGATGTGAGATGGAAAAGCTGCTGCCCAAGGCAGAAGGACCAGGATGGGTGGTGAGCTGTCAGAGAAAGTAACTCTGATCTAATCTTGTAAATTCCAGGATCAGAGAAAAAGACCCTCAACAAGATGAGTTGGCACAGTGGCTGCAAACAATAGATTTAAAGTTAGCATCTGTACTCACATAGATCAGGTCTTTATCAATGAGAAGATGGTACAGGACTAGACAGTATTTCATTTCACTGAACATAGGGTCCTTATGAGTCAGAACCAATGTGATGGGACCTAACATCTTTGGTGGGTGTTTTGTTTGCACTGTGCATTCCAAAACAATACTTTGGGTGTGAGATCCTTCACAACCATTTATAATAGAAGATATTTAAGAGACAGAGGTCAGTGTTAAGCTGAGAGGGGTGAAACAGTGTAGGTTCCAGAAGAATTCACACCAGGGGTTTTGTTTCATTTCCAAAGCATTGTGAAATTGTTATTATTGCAAGATCTTCATATATCAAATGATTCTGAATAAACCCTGTCATGTAGGTCTATAGACTTGTATGTCATGCACGTCAAGCCTTTGTCACAGTGCTTGGGGCCTTGAACACATTATGATGGAGTTTTTCTTCAGATCCCTTTTCTAGGAGCATTTGGCAACATTCTATGACAAAGAAACCCAGAGCAGCCAAAGTACAGCTGAGCAAGTAAAATTCTCAAAAAAGAAAAAAATCTCACGGGGTGCAATCACCTGTGGAGTGGTTGGTGTTTGAACCACTGCACTTTTGGATGGCTACCCAAAAAGTAATTTATCACATAATAGCATCTGTTGCTTCATCTGGGTATGTATTTTTCCAGCTGTTTGCAACTCACTTTGTGGTCCTGTTAATGATAATCAATGTCCATCTTTCCCAGCTGCTTTTCCATCTCAGAGGCCTCTAATCTATGTTACAATTAGAATAGCCAGTACATATACCAACTGATAACAAAATCAACGGTGAGCCAAGTTAGGTAAACTTCCTAGTCATAACCAGTCACCATGAAGGAATGGGTTGCTGGTCCTAGGGCCTTTGACTATAGTCTCAAAGGACATCAAGGTCAACTGACATAAGAAAGTTCACAATGTTCTCCATTACTATTTTGAGTAGCTACTGGTAGGGGTTTTAAAAGTTATTGCGCAGCCATCTAAGATGCAAGTATTAGTCTCTCCTTGTCCACAACAAAAAAGGGATGGAAGAAAAGCACAATTCATAGACACAATTCACCCAAAGGGTTAATGAACTGTGTGCACCTCAACCTCTACCACCCTGAGACCAGAACTAGAGGGTGCCCAGCTACTCCTACTGACCGCTCTAAACAGGATCACAGCTGGAGGACCTGGATAGAGGTGGATGGAAAATGTGGAACAAAACCTAAAACCATCCAGGGTTAGTGGTTTGATAGAGACTTAAGTTACCTTAGTCATCCTGTGAACTTGGAACAAAAAACTCAACACTCCCTCAACTTTCAGCCAAATAAAACAAACAAAAAAGCAGGCATCTAAGATAGTCAGTATTACCAAGGAGACATCACTCCTACCACCAGCCTCAAAAAGGCAGCATTTGCCAAGGGATAAAGATCAGTGAGCAGGACAGGATAAGATAAAAAGTTTTTTTTTATTTTAGGAAAGAAAAATTCTATTAAAGACATTTTATGTTAGTCATTATATAATCTGTTTGGACTCATGGTGGCCACTGTATAGACTAGAATTGCTCCATAGAGTTTTGTGTTTGAATTGTTTTGAGTTTGACTTTACAAAGCAAATTGGTTTTATACCCAACCATTCATATAAATTGTTCTGTAAGTTTAATGAAAATGTTCCTAATATAACTGCTTTCTTCCCATTTCTTTGCTGTGATTCTCATTTCTATTAATGTATCTACCCTACCCCTTCCTACCCTTTATGATTTGTCCTTGGGCAAATGCTCCTCTTTTGACCTTATATTATTGGTTATTCTGAGTAAGGTGTCACCCGGCTATTAAAGTTCATCTTATATGCCTGTCTGTTGCCATTTGGGCCATGGGTGTGAGTTTTATTCTAGGTTTGAAAGATGTCTAAGAACCATATTCTCAGAGTTCCACCAGTCTCTAGTAGACCAGTTAGCCAGGCATTTCCCCCCTGCCCGCATAGGGTTTTGAAAACAGATTGCCAGGGCTGTTTTCTCAAACATGTTAGTGTTGTTTCCAAGCATTAACCACCAAGCTCAAAGTAGAGAACGTAATCAATTTGTGCCACCCAAGAACATCTACATTGAGAACCACATACTTCAAATACCCAATGAAAATGTTTGCCCAAGGTAAACTGCTAGAAAGGAAGATTTTTGTTATCTCACCTCAAGGGAGATGACACCATTTCTCAGAAATGTCCAAGTGATGTGCATGTAACAGTGCACAAGTTCAAGGTCACTGACAAAAAGCACAGGACACTTTACAGTCCTTACCTAGGTATGGATCTCTTTCTGGTTCAACCAGGATTCTGGAAAACCTGTTGAAAGCCAGTCTCCAGTCCATGGTCAGTCTCTGAAGGGAATACATCAGCCATTGTTTATCCCTCCTCCAGCCCCCTGCAGACTCCTGTTCCCAAGCTTCACCCACCTTATACCAAACCCCTACCTTTCCCAACTCAATTAAAAATTCCTCCCCTTGAGAGATGAAAGCAGCCCAAGACACAGAACTGTGATTTACACTAGAGGGAACCTTGAAGTTACCACTCTTTCTTCACTAGTGCCTTAGGACTTGGAGTCCAAGCATCTTCCATTCTTCAGAGCAGCTAGTACACCTTGTCATCAACATCAATGGCAGACACTTTACATGTCTTTGACTAAAATACCCAGTATCTACTTCCTAAATAACATGCCTCTATAAACTCTATGAGCTTTGAGAAATGACAATAGTGATAGCAAGGCTTCAGCTCATTTGTTCATAGGGTTGCTATGAGTTGTGCTCAACTTGGTGGCAATCAAAAACAACAACAGTGTGCTGTTTAATTGCCAATTAAGAATAATAAGAGCCAGTGAACAACAAACAAGTGCAAACCAACAGGATTTTTTTTTTCTCATATTTCTGAACAAGTTAAAAAACATTGGAACATTTTACTTTTACCAAAAGTAATTCTAATGGAGACCAAGACTGAACCACCTTTCATACCATCCCTCATCAGTCTCACACTTCCCCCTCTGTTGTGGACTTCTTCACCATCTCCACAGATGTGCCACTGCTCCCGTGTCCCCTTAGCCATGCTTAGGATCCAAGATTTTCTATTTGTCTTACTGAGCTAAACAATATTGCAGTCAAACCAGGAAAATGGCAAGAAATGTCTGAGGGTAAATTTCAGCTTTGAAGGTAAATAAACTTCCAACTCAAAAGGTGCAACATTTCAAGACAAACTAAAATCTACAAGAAACTCGTGTATCAGGCACCTAAGAAGTCTTAATGCCCATTGGCAATTCCACCTCACCTCTACTACTAAGAAGACTAACAGTCATTTTAACATCTACTGGAAGAAATCTTCCTCACAGTTCTCATGAACGGGAGGATCTGCTGGAGCTTGCCTTGGGTTTGGCCTTGGCTTTGGCAGTGACACCAACCCAGGCCCACACTCTAGCCGCTGCTTTCTCTTCCTCCTCTCTCCAGGTTTCCATATACAAGGTTTTGAAGGCATTGTGGTCCATTTCCTGGACCTTGGTCAGAAATGCCAGAATCTTGGTCTTGCTGGCTTCAGCATGGGCCCTGGGACCCCACAGGAACTCATAGCATGGAGGATCACTGTTGGGCACCTGCCGGTATTCTAGGTACCTTTCTTGCACAAGATCTTTGGTGAGGAGCTTCTTAGGGTCCCCGAAGATGAAGTGCATCTTCTCTTTGTGGACCCCCAGCTTACTTAGGAATTTCCACATTTCTTCCTCGCTGATCTTGTTGTCATGCATGTAGATTATGCCCAGGAGAGGCATCAGCAGCCCGTATTTGGGAAACCTGCCACCACGCATATTTTCTTCTTGGCTGAACTCCAGTGTGCTGACCAGGTTATAGGAATTAGCTTTGGAGTCAACTTCTTGTAGTTTCAGACCAAAGACCAGCTCCATGTGCTCAGAGACTCTGTTCAGGACTTCAGGGAAGCGCTCCTTGTACCTTTTATTGATGATCTTCATCATCTCAGCCTTAGTGATGGGCTCTTTAATCTTGTACTTGTGCAGCAGGAACTGCAGCAACATGCTGATCCTCCTATCGAGAGGATCTCTCTGGGGACCCTTAGTGGTGGCCTTAGAAGAACGTGCACTGGCGCCATCTTGGCCCTGGGTACCTTCATCAGGCCCTGTGCAGGAAGCACCTGCAGCAGCAGTGGGGGTGGATGGGGGTCTCTGAGGACCCTTTGCAGTAGGATGATCTGGGCGGCGCTGAGGAGATGCCCCACGAGGAGAAGAGGAGACTTCTGCTGCTGCTGCTGTGTCCTGAACACCCTCAAGAACATAGGTGTCTTCTCGGGCCTGCTGGCGTTTCTCCCGGGCACGGTTCTTACTCTTCTGACCACGAGGCATGATGAACACTGGTACAAGTGTGGGAGGAGAGAGGCAGGGTTTTGCCCCTTCACCAGCAATATTCCTCTGGGAACCTCAGGACCCTGCAGAGGAAATTATAGTAAGTTGAAGTTGCCCTTGCCAGCCCTGCTTGGACCTTCCTGGTGGAGGACAGCTGGGGCTGGCTGTAGGGAGACTATGTACTGGATAGTGGGGAACTTTCTCCCCTCAACTTAACAACCTCATCAGTTGCCAGGGTATATTGGTAAGGAGTGGTGCTGCCAACCAGAAAGCATATGGCTCCAATCCACCAGCTCCCCCACAGGAGTAAAATGGATAATCTCTTTCCATGAGATTTACTGCCTCTACAAACTCACAGGGTGGGGGGTGTGTGTGTGTCAGGTATATGAATTGGTTCCGACTCAATGGTACATAACAAGAACAACATATCCATTTCTAGTAATGCCTAGGCCTTTCTCTCTAACACTCATCCTGACACCACAAAGCCCTCTGGGACACAAATAGTACCATTGCTAACAGGGTAGCTCAGCAATGACAGCACAGTAGGGCCCATTCTGTCCTAGGTTCTTTGGAGACCGCCATGCCCTCCCCAACTTATCATATCTGTACCCTTTGACCATCTTTTTTTCTCATATCCCTGACGAGCCTTGGGAGAGCATAAGCACATGTTAGCATGACTAGGCTCTCTTCATAGTTTAAAAATACCTGTGGGTCTTTACATGGACTCATATCAGCACTCAGTGCCCTCATCTTCACTCCTATTAGGGGACCTTGTCTCTTGTCTCTGCTGTACAGTCCCCCATTACTATAGGGATTTTGAATAGGAGATGATCCATCCTCAGGATCACATAACAGGGTCTTCAAAAAGGTCTCTTGACACCAATGCAGTGTGTCACTATTGCCCTTCTTATTTGGAGGTGGGTTGCTGTTGATTGCCATGGGTCAGAATCAACCCATAACTGACAGTACATGGAGTTTTCAGAGGCACTAAGTCACATGGAATAAGACTGCCCATCTTTATCCCATGGAAAAGCTGGTGAATTGAAAATGATGCTTTTGTATTGGAAGCACAATTCTTACCACTAAGCCATGGAGGTGGGTCAGGCAATTACTTAAAAAAGAAATTTTTCCACTTAAAAAAGAAATTTTTACCTTGGCTTCCACCAGGCTCAAGGATTCATACTTAGCTGTAATGCAGGGACCCCAACTTCTGAAGATCTACTTCAAGCTACACCCCTCCACCCAAGGCCCACGTGTTCTTGGATGGAGACATCCAAGTTGGAAGCGTAATTGAGCCATGTTTTACGGGGGCTGTTTGGTATCACCAGGTGGAGGGGGCGGTGGGGTTTGGGGGTTGTAGAAACAGGGGAGAAGGCTTCCAAGACTCCACAATTCACAATCACTGACTGTGTCATTGCTCACTCGGGCTTGGCAACTGGACTCCCTGCTAAGACTTCCCATCATTCCTCCTCTATTGACTGGCGCCCCCGTGAAAGCGGCAATGGCGGTTCCTGGCACGGGCCCAGACCTCCATCTTGCTAGCATATTCAGGATATTCGACATTAGGATACCGGTGTCTGGGGGGGGTGTGGGGGGGCGGTGTGCGCGCGCGTGCATGTAGCGGGGACGAGGGCGGGGGTCCTGGCACAGACCCAGACCTCCATCTTGCTAGCATATTCAAGATATTCGACATTGGGATACCCCTATCTGGGGTGTGTGTG